CACCGGGCACCGGGCACCGGGCGGGGCCCCATTGTTGGCGGAGAGCCGCGCTGGGCGGTGGCGGCGGCTGAGGGATCGCCCGCGTTCCTCACGGAAAAGCTGCCGGAGCTGCCGCCGGTGGGCTCGGGGAGGGTTTGGCTTTAGGGTAAAAAATCGCTCCTTGTTCCTTGTCCTTTCCGGGGCCGCCCGGTTCCTGCTGCGATAGGAGAGGAATCCTCTCCTCCTCACCCTCCGGTGAAACTTTAATTGTTTCATTTCCCAGTAAACGATCCCGGTTTAATCGGATTTTTTTGCCAATCTGAGTTCGCTGGGGTTGTGGCTATTTGCTTGTTGTGATTTTGGTGTATTTTTCCCGGCTAAACCWCCACCAAATACATCCCCCGATAACGCTGATTTTTGGGGCACGGTTTTGGGGTAAAACCCCCCAAAATTGGCCATGGAAACATTGGGATTGTCCGGCGTGGAGAGGAGGAATTTTGGGGTGACCTTTGGGGTGAAAGAGCCCAAAAACGGCGGAGAGGGAACATCGGCGAGGGATGGAGGGACAGGAATGGATTCACTGCGAGGAGCGGCTTTGGGGTGGATTTTGGGATTTGGGATTTGGGATTTGGGATGGAATCCCTCCCTGGGACGGTGCTGAGGCCCTGGCGGGGGTTATCCCATGGATGGATGGACAGTGGGGATGGATGGATGGATGGACAGACGGACAGTGCCCACCACAGCAGGGATAGCACCAAACACCCCTAAAACCCCTCCCAACCCCAACCACCCCATTACTGCACCCCCATAACACCTTTCCCTTTGGGATCTCCCCTTCCCTTTTGGGATCTCCCATTCCCTTTGGGATCTGCCATTCCCTTTGGGATCTGCCATTCCCTTTGGGATCTCCCATTCCCTTGTGGGATCTCCCATTCCCTTTGGGATCTCCTGTTGGAATCTCCCATTCCCTTTGGGATTTCCTGTTGGGATCTCCCATTCCCTTTGGGATCTCCCATTCCCTTTGGGATCTCCCATTCCCTTGTGGGATCTCCCATTCCCTTTGGGATCTCCTGTTGGAATCTCCCATTCCCTTTGGGATCTCCTGTTGGGATCTCCCATTCCCTTTGGGATCTCCCATTCCCTTTGGAATCTCCCATTCCCTTTTGGGATCTCCCATTCCCTTTGGAATCTCCCATTCCCTTTTGGGATCTCCCATTCCTTTTGGGATCTCCCTTTCCCTTTGGGATCTCCCATTCCCTTTGGGATCTCCCATTCCCTTTGGGATCTCCCATTCCCTTTTGGGATCTCCTGTTGGGATCTCCCATTCCCTTTGGGATCTCCCATTCCCTTTGGAATCTCCCATTCCTTTTGGGATCTCCCTTTCCCTTTGGGGCGGGTTTAGGGCACAGCTCGGTTCGGGGCGGGTTTAGGGCTGGTTTAGGGCACAGCCCGGCTTGGGGCGGGTTTAGGGCTGGTTTGAAGCTCAGCCCGGCTCGGGGC